TCTTTCCCTTTAAATTTCTTCTTTTCCAATCCCCTGGAAACAGTTTGTCATTGTTCCCGGAATCCGCCGTTGTTTTTACTGATATTTGGATGGCTTCCTGGAAAAACGTCCAGTGGTCACTAAGTCCTTGGGCTGGTGCTCCAGCTGAAAGGCAACGAGAGAGTTCCACTTTATGGGCCCATTTGCAGCTATCGCTTATATTGTTTTGTGGACATCCGTTTACAGTGGTTTTTATAGGCTTGTTTACCAGGCACAGAGAGAATCTGGCTCGCAGCAGAGCATGGTGTCTGTGTTCAACGGTTTTGACTGGTAGGAGCGGCAGTTTCAGTTTTTGCCAAGGACTTTCTTGAGCCGGTTTTGGTTGCTGCCCTTTGGCCGCTCATTCGGATGAAAGAGCGAAATGAAGATTGGAATGTTGAGAGCAAATCCAAGGGGAAGATAATTCATAAGGTTGCAAGAATCATGAGTAGATGCACGTGCGCCACCCAGCAATATCACTCAGTGTCTCTAACCACAGGGGGCCCCATCCAGGGAGCCTAACAGGACCTATCTGCCCCAATGTCCTGGTTAAGGTTTTCATACCCTCGTACCAGATCGTGTTCTGATCACCCTTGGCTCTGTTCCACCCAATCTGCCTCAGCATATACCGCGCGTTGTGACAGTCTGTCAGGTGGCATGCCCCAGCCTGAGTTGTCTATGGAGGTTGACCATCTGCTCCAGTGAGCAACCGCGGTTACCTAAAGCTCTGCACCTAACCTCAGAAGTACTCAAGATATTCACAGAGCAGCAATCGCAGTCATCTACCATCAAGATCAGCGTAATGAATGGTTAAAGACACTGAGTGATATGGCTGTGTTGTAAGCGGTGGCGCACGTACATCTCAATTTCTTTGCAACCTTAGTCTTCCTGATTTACCGGTTTTTTATCTGACACGTGAATACTCCAATCTTCCCTTTTAACTCCTCCACTAAAATGGGTAGTCATGAGACGGCAACCCAAAGCGGCCGACGATAGGGACTGGCTAACGGTTATCACCTATCGGCATATTTAGACACCGAATGGTAAGAAGCTAACCACAAAAGGAGCGGTTATTTCGCTGAGAGAAATAAAACGGGTTAAGGATTCAGCACAATGTCAATGAATCAAGACGCAGTTATCAATCAGCCGCCGTATTTTCTTCTCGCCATGGTGCGCTTGAATATGATTTGATTGATCCAAAATTCCGGCCTCTTATTGACCATCATAAAACTGTGCCGCCCAGTTCCCTGGCCGGCGTTATCTCGCAACACAGGGTCACCACAACTACCCGAGAATCTATTAAAGAAACTTTTTGAAACTGATTTAGTAATTGAGGTAGATTGACGAGTGGGGAAAAATAAAGATTTTAACGGAAATCAGCCATTCAAATTGAGGGAAGAACTTGGTCATCTCCCATCAAGCCATTTATTTAAATCCCGCTACGACGGCAAAAATATTCGGATACGCTGTTCACACTCACCACATTTTAAGTCACCAGTTCCTTCTAAATGGAAATCACCCACACCATTAGGCTTTCAATAAAAATAAAACATTCTGACAAAACTATTGGGTATATGAATGCTGCGAAGAATTCACTTTAATCTAGGGTTCATCGATTGAGTGGCAAGTTAGTGATTCCAAGTACCGATTTAAAAACTGATTGCTAGTGAAAAGAAAGCATACATCATTGGGAACGTCCCGGTAGTTTAATGATGAGGAAAGCAAGGGAAAATACCGAGTATTACATACAACTAGATTTTCGTATTTCGAAAAGTAGGTAGACAATGAGCCTGCTTTATTGTCAATGAACCATATTGCCGATTCGATCAATGAGAACGACATGAGCGAACCGAGGCCCTCAACAACTCGAACAATTCTGGCATTGATCTCGCCTAACGAAAATCGATCTCTAGGTTAGAATAGGATTAGATTTCATAGCTTACATAAATTGGAAGGGATTAGAAAAATGGTGCCGAAACTCGTGCAATACCTGGCTGGATGTTCTATCAATTCTGAAGGAGTCAGAAAGCCACGACAAACCGGTCGGTTCCGGTGTAACCATCAAGGCAGAAATGATAATGCGCATGTGTACGTTTCTGGATCGATATGGAGCACCACATGATGTCATTTGCGGAGTGCGCTGTGACAATCGGTTTCATCAATTATAGTTTTGGATAACAACTAGACAGACAGTTGACAACCACAGCACAGCAGTTAGGATGAAATGTCGTCTCACAAAAAAGAAGCTATAGAATAAAGCAGGGAGAGAAGCTAGAATATTTGGTCACAATCGGTCGATAACTAGCTCGCGAATCGCTTAAGTTCTGATAGATGGAAGTAACTAGAACGAAACAAAGACATGGAGATCTTGGAAACAGAAAGAAAGATGAATCGTGGCAAGGTGAGAATCGGATGAATTTAGGGGTAGTGCATCATTGGTTTCTTTGAAACACCCCAGAAAAAGCTCAACGCTGCATGTGCATCGCACGAGAAAAGAAATGCGAAAGCCTGTTGGATAAAAAACTCATTTTCCAACCCAAAGAATAAACAATACGCTGCCAAACTCTTGGAAGCTGAAGCAGTTTATTACCGATTGAGTCAACTATGGGGGGTCCAGAAATGAATGGCAAAAGCATGCATGGTTTTGTCGCTCAATTTTGTTGAGCGAAATTTAGACGACAGGGTGCAGTGCACTCGAGCAACTGAGTTGAAATACCCACTCTATGGTGTGAACTAATTTGAGAAATAGCTTAGGCACAAACTCTGTTTCGCTCTCGTTAGCTGATTTTGGGACGGATAAACTGTTATGTTATTGGAGGTGTATCGATTAATCTAAACTCTGTTATGGAAGCATGGTAAACAAAATGAAGAGCAATATACAGTACATAAGAAAGCATTCCAAAACGAAAATAAGGCGGACGCGGCTCAGTCCATTGTGCGCAAGTCTGTAAACGGTAAAACTGAGTACTCGTAGATGTATAGGAAACAGGAGTGTTTTCAGGTTAAAAAATAGCCGATTTTCTTTTTTTGAGACATCCGATGCATCAAGCCTCCGTATTACCTTGGAGATAACACTTCCTGTATAAGGGAAGGAAGCTTTTCGATTGGGAAGGCAAATAAATGAATGGAAACCGAAAGCAACATGGACTGATTTGTTTACTTGATGTACACAAACATATGCCTCAGAAACTTTCTGAGAGATAATATGAATGTTGCATGGCATGCAGATTGTCTACCGAAACTTCAAGGTTAGACAACTATCTGACCATGCGGTTTTTGTTGCCCCATAGAAACCATGTACGCCACCTGACTATACGGTGGGATTTCTGATAAAAGAATCATCTTAATACCATTAAAGTGGGGACATAAATTAGCAATTGGTATCATTACGGAAAGAGAAGTTGAACCATGACTTTTATGGCGATCAAACCACAGATACGAACCGCTAGGTTTACATTTAGAGTTCTCTTGGTGCGGTCCATTTTGCAACGAGCGAGATGTTGAACAGACGACAAGTTTTTGTTTTCATTCAGCTAACAAGTTGATAAAACGAAACAAAAATAATTCACTCACTTACATGATGCTAGTTGGGGCTGGAACTAAGACAGCTGAAAGGCGATCAGCGAGTTCCGCTTCGAAGGCCGATTTGCAATTATCGCTGATATAAAATTGTGTGCATCCGTTTCCGGTGTGTCTTGTGATTACCAGACATAGGTTGCCAAGGCAGGAAGCGGTTGGATAAAGGTCAAGGGCGGTCAAACTAAGACCTGGCATGAGGGTATGAAAACCCTAACCAGGAGACTGGGTCACATAGGTCCCGTCAAGCTCCCTGGACGGGGGCCTCGAGATCATGGCCATTGATAGTTAGAGACACTGAATGATATGGCTGGGCATGGGAAACAGTAGCGCTCGTCTATCTACTAATTATTCTTGCAACCCGTCTTTATCAATTCTCATTCTTCAATTTGACTCTGTTTTCAACATTCCAATCTGCATTCTGCTCTTCTGTTCAAATGGGCAACCAAAAGGCAGCAACCGAAACCGAAGCATGGAAATTCATGCATGGTTAGTGGTTGTGAAAACTGAAACTAAGACAACTTTGATGTATGGCTGAAGTAGAGTCATCATCACCATGGTATTGCGAGATGGTTAAAAGAACTTCGCTGATCCCTATCAAACTCATAATGTGTGAGATTGATAGGGAGTGAGGAAAAAGGAAAGTATAGCTACGATCAACATACAGTGAAGTTCGCTCACAGGATAACTGAAAACAAGGGTTTTGATTACCAGAAACTGAGCAAAACCAAGAATACCACACCGTTCTTTCACTTTGCTTCAGTCACAAAAGGGATGATGATGTGAACAAAACCATCGGTGCAAACTACCAATGTGGAATTTAAAAACTTTTCACTGAACACTGAACCACAAACAACTGTTACATTGGAAGATTAATCACCTGCATCGGTGCTTGACTTAACCAAACACTTACGCTTTTTCATGTCCTTGGTTGCGGTAACTTGACAATCGGTTTGCCTATTGAAGTAAACTGACGTACACATTCACAAACGCGTGACCATAAAACCAAGTCATCAGTGTTAAGACCATCGACTGAAACTTTACTCAGATCAAAGTTAAGATTGTTTAAGATAGCGTTCAACGGGGATGCACTTAAGGTCAAGTTGTGTTTATTCAAAATGAGTAGTTTAAGAGCAACCATGTTCCATGCATCTGTCCCCTCAATATCTCCGAAAAACTCAAAGATACGGAAGAATGAGGGAATAAAAGATCCACAAAAGGAGGTGAACAATACATAAACGGATATTTTATTTGTTTGATCGGATAAGAGTTCTGTACAACGTGTGATGGAGAGATAGAGAAACTGTTGTATGACAATGAGAGTGATCGACCGCATGTGCGTAAACACAGGCACAAATGGATGGATGGATAGGCATTGGCGCGCACGTTTCAGTGGGTATTTTCGATTAGTGGGAGGCCGGGCCAGTGACCATCATACGAGGTGCGATTGACATGGACATCAGTTCTTGGAATAGCAACTTGCACGCATACGGCAGTTTTACCAACGAGATCTTCAAAAGGAAAAACAGATAGAGATTAACGGTTAAAAACGTTGGTGAAAAAACGAGTATACTTTTACCCGGAGTGGATAAAGCACTTTTGACCTATCAAAACTACCACCAATCAGACCATACAACCGAAACAGGAATGTGTACGCCCCTAAGAACTATATGATCCACGTGTTTCGAGCGTCAAAATCAAACATATTTGTATGAGGGGATGGTATCCTCGGGTTAAGCATGGCTGAATGCTGCCAGGCGTGTCCGCGGGTTGTGGATAGGAGGATACCTTCACCGAAGAGGGTTAGCTGCGAATAACTTGTGGCATATCGCAACAAATAAGCAGTCGCGAATAAACAGCAGCGGCACTACCAGGGTGTGGTGGGTTTCAGGCTGGTCACCTGGCTCCTGTTTAAAAGCCGCCTAAGCCCAATGATGGCGTGGCGACAAAGGCCGGTATGACTAACCTTTTAAAACTAAAGTCATTGACCCCCTCACTTCCGAGGCGAGGGATTACTTTCTGCTGCCTTGCAGTTCGCACTTGGTTGCGCAAAGGCTAGAGGTGCGCCCTTAAAATAAAAAACGCCAAGTGACGCTGGGGACGTCTCTCGTACCAAACTCCCATAAAACTTAGTGATCATATCTGGAGCCGGTTTCTCTTTTCCAAGGGACCAGCCGCGGTAAAGTAAAGTAAACTATGATGGTGGTGATAAAGTAATCTGAAAAGAATATATCTATGCAATAAGAACACACACATGAGGCCAAAACCGGTTACAATGTTATGCATCATGTGGAAACCGTCTAAGGTTGTCTCAAATAAGTGTACAGACTGACACAAGTGATAAGGTTATCGTTACGCTTTACCGATAATAAGGATTTGGTAGATCAACATCTAAAAGAACAAAAGTGGTTTGTTTTACCTGAGTGGTATTCTTACAACTGCGACACTCAAAAGTCTTGTTGCGCTGATGAGCGACTGCAATCAGACCGCAAAGATTGCACACGTAAACCTGATAAGGATCACTGGCAAAGAAGAGTCGTTCACGCAAAAACTGCGCCGCTCCGTGAGCAATTTGGCAATCCCGTTCCATTTCACCGAATCGAAGACCACCATCACGACTACGTCCTTCCATCGGCTGTCGATTTAGAATTTGGACGGGACCTCGAGAACGACTATGGATTTTGTCATCCACCATATGTTTCAATCGTTGATAATAAGTTGGGCCAAGGAAGATTTGAGAGTTCAATTTGCGCCCGGTAAAACCATTGTACATTATCTCGTTTCCGGTGTGCTGGTAACCATATTCTTGAAGAAGTAGTGAGATTTTCCGCACGTTTACGGCATCATTAAACGGTGTGGCATCACCGATTTCACCCTTGTTTGCACTGACTTTACCCTGTCATAATACAAGTTAAGGGTAAAATTACCTTCCGACGAGCGCAACAAGTGAAGTAAAAACTCACCGTATGTTTTGTGTCAAATACATTAAAAATAACATTTTTGGGAAGCATCTCAGGATCTCACAATCCACATATACCAATACGCTCTTGTGCGTTCATATCAAATATAAATCAAATATTTACCTGATTCAAAGGCAATACCTCAACAGTTGCAACGTATCCGAANATCCGAAAACGCAAAGGAAACTTCATCTCGGATCGTGGGATAGTCTCTTGGACGATCATTTTCCCTAGCACAGCCACGGTGGTTAACTGAAGACGAGATGACCATGGGCAAACTATTCCATTTAAATCTATCAACCATTTGGGAATAAAATTCCATTGGTTCTTTGTGTTGTATTCTATTGACGTTGACGTTGGTGATTTGTACTAAGGCCCCAGTCAGTCGATGGAAGTGTACGAATATAATAATGATGGGTGACATGCTTCTAACAATTTGCGGCCAGAAACTTAAAAACGACACTAGATAGTACATGAGAGTAGTGCAAGACTTGGTTCTATCATAGGTTGCATTTCGTCGACACATCCAATCAGGTTGGAATGTTTCCAACTGAGTTATAACCCCGAAGGCAAGCACTAAGCTCATATTTATGGGTTGTGCTATATTGCACATAGGAAAATGAAAAACAGTAGGATCAGCTGCGTGATGCTCGAGTGGATAGTATGTTTGCGGCCCCAGGAGTAGGTATTCCATACGACGTTGTTTTCTTCACTACATATTCTGGTGTCCAACAAAGTGGATCGAGAAAACACCAGTTAGGCGAGAACTTCCCGTTAGTGGTTAGGACAACCTACAAATAAATTCATCTGATTACACTGTTGTTCGGCAGATTGAAATTTCATGATGAGATTGTGAAAAGCTCAGTAGCCTCGGTGGGATTCGAACCCACGCATGGACGCCGACTACACATTTGTACAGCGCACGCTCTACCAGCTGAGCTGAGCTGAGCTACGAGGCCACGTGGCCTCGGAGTTGGGAGGGTGCAAAAAATATATATAATATATAATATAATAATAACAATATGATAATATATATATATATAGATATATATATATATATGAACGAGCCGCCCATCCAAAAATTACGCGGTGTTGCAAATAAAATTGTGACGAAAATACACTTCCTGGGTACAAGTATAGGAATGAAAGATTACCCGATACGCATGCCTGACGAGCGGCAAGAACCGCGAAACCGGTCACGCGCTTGCAGGAAAATTTTGCCCAATCAATCTCATACTACTGATCATGAAATATATAACACCAATCTTAACAGATACGGCGCCAAAATAACCGCGGGTTTAACGCAAATTAAAAGAACGAGAGGGGGGAGACAAAAACAGTCATCTTGGGGAATAACTAATTTTTTGTTTGTTTACTGCACGTCATTTTGAGCTCTTTGTTTGTTTATTCTTAGGAAAGGATGTATTCGCGCCACTGACTTCGGTACGATGCCATATCCCACAGTGTCTCTAGCAAAAGACATTCTGAATCCTTGAAACCCCAGTCAGAGAGCCCCAACGGAAGCCAATTTCGAACACAATCTCTTCAACACTCTACGCCACATCATACCCTGCTCACTGCGTTCTTTCTTCAAGCCCGAACAAATGTCAGCAAATAGCACATGGTATGCAGACGTTGTTCAGGCCTTTGTAGGGCGCTTCCAAAGGAAATACCATAACGAGCAATATAAATTGCCAAACGATTTAACTTATTTTTAATCTCCAGTGCGTTGTCGCCGAGTAAAGCAATATTATCGACAGACTAAGTTCACGACTCCGTCCCGAGGAAGAAGCTCGCCGCCACCGTTCGTTGCGTTGAGTAAAGCTTTTTGCATAACATCATCTATGGCAAAAATGAAGAAAAACGGAGGGATAGGGCAATTCTGTCACACCCCACTAGCAACGGGAATTGAGATTGAGAGTTCACCTTAGGCGAACCTTCATCGAGATCTGACGGTAGAGTGCTTTTGCAAACAAGACATACTTCTCGGGCACTCCACATGTCAGAAAACAGTTCCACAAGAAGGGCCATCGATGGAATCAAAGGTCGATCTAATGTCCAAAACCACGACAACAGTTTGTCATCCAAATTCTTGGTGGTGTTCTAGTAGCTGACGGGGGGTGAAGATTTGATCTAGACAACCACAGTGTGCACGAAATCCGATCTACTCCTTGCGGATTATCCTTTCATGAAATAGGCCTAGAATGAATAATGAAACAGACGCTAGCAGATCCGACGCTATTGGAATCAGACTTATGCCCCTGTTCGGAACATGCGTTGCGACAACCGTTCTTGTAGATGGGTGCAACAATCGATTCTACCCAGCTATACCTCACCTGGCGGACGCGTTACAGATGAGATGTCGTTTCACACATAGAAGGCTGGATTGGCATCTGCCAACTTGGAACATCCGTGGCTCCGTCGCGACATCCGGATATCTGTAAAGTATGGAGTGAATGCTGCAGCAGTTCAGCCAGTTCTTCCCTTGAATCTGATCTCAACATTCCAATATTCATTCTGCTCTCATATCGAAATGGGTGGCTAAAAGACATCAACCTAAACGAGCGCAGAAAAGCACATGGTTAACAGTTGTAAAAACTGAAACGTGTGGGGTACACTTTCAGTTTCACATATCTTTGAGAACAGTCTCACAAGCTCTCTCACGGGAGCTTCTCCACCATCTTTAACGAAGACAAACGGTGGGTTGTCTGATCCACCGGCCATGTGGTGTTTCAGGGCTTGGAGTTCCTTTCGTATCTACGCTGCTGTGAGAGGTTACATGGATAGTCACCAGGGTGCACTCTCAAGAGAACTACTTGAGCAGAGAGCGTAGGAGGCTGGCTGAACTTCGATTTGCAACGGTCTGGCCAGCGTTCTAGGCGTCGGCGAGGGCTGTTTATTGGCATGCCGTTTACCTCGCAGACTGTTTCATGGACGCACTGTTTTTTGGGGCCAGTAACAACCAATGAGTTGGAACAGTTGCCAGGTGTTTCCACACCAAGCTACTGATTCAATCTCCTTTACAATTAGCGGCCACCACAC